ACAATGTTGCAAAAATGGAAGACTCCCATCTGATCCTTATATTTTATTTGTATTTTATTTTTATTTAAAATATATTTGTATTCATATTTTTAGAGAGAGAGGAACTTCCCATCTCAACAGTGAACCCAATAATGCAGTCAGCCTGTCCGCTGACTGATCACACCCTGACGCGTCCGCTTCGTCCTGGGAAAGCCGCCCGCCGGTGTCTTGCGAAAGGCATCTCGGCGGAAGCGCCGCCGCTGTGAGCTGCTGGCGCTAACAGCCCGAGTGGCCACGGCACAGGAGGCCTCGGCGCTGCAGGAAAACGTCGGACTCCTTGAAACAGTCCTTCCAGACTGTCTGGGGAGCCTTTTCTCTGCCAAGGGCCATTTGGATATTTATAGCATCATTCGCAGGCCATATAAAACCATCAGCTTAAAAATTAGCCGTGAGAAAAGGCCCTGGACTTGCTGAATTCCGAGTCCCGCCTGCGGTTGCCGAGGCAGGGCCAGACCCGGTGATCCCTCAGGCCTCGTAGCCGGGTTCCCCTCCCTGCCCTAGGGTGACACTGCAGTGCCCGTTTCCTGTGTTTTCCGGGTAGACGGACAGATTTAAAGTTCCTGGGACAAACAGGTCAGTGTTGTCACTAATTCAGGTTTTTGGGCGCTGTCTTTCTATGAGACACTAAGATGGAAAAATTGGTGTGTTAAGAAAAGCCTGTCATCCTACCTTGTCACCCTCCAGAACAACCAAGAAGGGATTATTCTGACCATTGTGAAGTTTATTTTTGAGAGGAATCAAATATTAATATACTCAGCTCACGAGGAAAGTAAAATGCTGGCGAGTTCTTTCATAAGAGCAGAGCTGCCCTGGAAACTGGGCCACGTGAAATCCCGTTTCACTCTCTGCGGTGCCCAGGGTGGCCGCCTGCCAGCAGCCTGTGGTAACGGGGACATGTCGCGTCACAGGGCGTCTGCCGTCAGACTCGTTCTCAGCGATTCTCCCCCTCAGGGAGCAACAGAAAGTTAAATCCCAGGCCCACAGGTGGTGACATATTTCAGAAGACCATTTATTCTGCAGCACCTTCCGCTTCTGAAACCCCAGCTCATAAAACCAAATAATTAAAAGATTTGTTTGTCAACAACAACCGTTCACAGAAGAGTCTTGGAAATTAAAAAAGAAACAAACACCCGTAAGATGTAAGTTACAGCTTTGCAGGTAAACCCATTAAACTTCCTGGGTGGCCGCTGACAGCATTCACGGGGCTCAGGAAACAGATTTCTCATTCTGTCGTGTGTTTCTGCCTTTCATGGATAAAGTTTCTTAAAAATTATGTATCACTAATTCTTTTAGAAAGACATCCATCCTCAATTTTTTGCCCGGTGCCTACCGATTCCAACAGGCGATCACTCTTCTAAATTATTTTTAATTCCTCTCTTACTGATACTTTGTCACAAAAGTATGTTTCACTAAATAATATATTGTAGCACTTTGCTGGTTTTAGGTGCCACAGGCTATGTGTTTTTTCACAATTTGTTCTTCTCGTTCAGTAACATATCTCAAAAATGCACCTGTCCTGGTACAGTAGCTGCGGTTCACTCTACAAATTTTATTATTTTCATCCAACTTCTTTGGAACCCATTTCTTTTCCGAGCCTCTTAGCAAGACATCGCTACAAAGTGTCCTTTTCTGTTTCTATTTATTGAGACCATTGTGACTATCTTAATCCAGTAGTAACCATGGAAACACTGTTGTTGTTTTTTAGGATAAGAGAGGCCAAGTGAATGAACTTAAACAAATATAATCAGTCTGTTTACCATTTAAATCTCTTTACTAATGCTGAAAAAATCACTGTCGTTACTTCCAGCATTAAGAGGTCACTAGCCCTCGATTTTATAAGGGTAGTGACAGTGTCACACAAACCAGAGCTAGCACCTCATGCTTCTTACCTGCAAACACCAATTTTCAAAAAGCCGAATGCTGTTCCTGCCGCGGAGGTTAGAACCCTGGTCGCTCACCGTCTTCGTCTAGAGAATGAACTCTGATCTGCTCTAACTGTTCTTGAATATGTTTATTTGTTCTATCAGCTCCCTTAAGCAGTGCTAATACAACTTAGCTGTTAAATATTAAAGCACATTATTATCTTATAAAATGGTACCCAAATTCTAGTATTCCCAGGTCAAAAGCCCTTGTAAGTGACGGACAATTACTGAAGCTCTAACTCTAATCACACAACCAAGGGCAATTGGTCGCATCCAAGTTTTCACTCATCTTGCACTTAATTTAAAATTTCTGAGACGCCTCCGGTCAATGGGGAAGGTTTTTGACAAAGTAGCAGCAAATGTAACTGAATTTGGGAGAGAAAACCTAGAGTAAGATTTCTGTGACTAATTTCTCTCTGGGTGATCGTGAATGTTGCACGTCGGTTGACTTTGGAATATGCTGAATTTCTAAATCACCGTGATGGCAGCAGGTGACTCACGGGTAGTTGATGAGTTCTACACAGGCATCTGTAATTTGGGAAGATGTTAAAGATATTTTTTTCTTTGCGATAAATAAAGAGAAATCCAGCCTGTTGAGGGAAATAGTGCCTATGAGAAACCAGCATCAAGGAGTCAGCAACCCTCTCCACGGAGCAGACGAGTTTCGCCCCGGCCGTTTTTCTCAGCGGTTAGAGCATAGGCCTGCGGGCTGCAGGGTTTGGGTGTGATGTCGTCCGGGGCATTTACCGTGGCTGCAGGCTCCTGGATCCCTGGCCCTGGTCCCGGCATGTGCGGGAGGCAACCAATCGACATTTCTCTGTCTGTCTCTCTCCCTCTCTCCCCCTCCCTTCCACTCTCTCTGAAAAGCAATGGAAAAAATATCCTCTGGCAAGGATTTAAAACTAAATAAATAAAAATGCCATGGAGTCCCCATGCCTCAGGGCAGGACGGATTCTGGTGCCGGGGTTTCAGTCAGCCCCCTTCAGGACACGTGAGCACCTGCTGAGGGCCAGGCTGAAGCCGGACACTGATAACAACCGGGGGAGAGTCTCTCCTCTCCCAAGACTTCTGCCCTAGGGAAGGGACCAGCCAGGAACATGGACCGTCACAGAGCAGGCTGTTCCGAGAGACGGCGGAGGGGGCCCGTGTGGCTGTGGTGGAGGGAGTCTCGGCCTGCGTGGCGGTGAGAGATCAGGACGGCTCCCTGGGGGGACTGGAGTCTGAGCTGCGACCTGAAGGATGGGCGGAGCAGAGGCCCTGCTGGCAAATGGTCAGTGTTGTCACCAAGCAGAAAGTGCCGCCTGCAGGCCAGCGGGTCACTGCGTGGTCGCTGAGATGCCCTTCCCCTGCGGGACGCCCTGTGGCCGGGTCCTCGCAGACGCCTGGCCCGGGCGAAGGGCCCCTGGAGGAGGGCTGGGGCCGGGGCGAGGGCCTCGTGGCCTGAGCCTGTGGCTTTTGGACGTTGGACAGAGAAGAAAACCAGCGTCGCTTGAGTGTGACCTTTGCCGGACAGGTCTGCTGGGACCGCAGCTGCCGGCCGAGGGTGAGGCCCTTCGGGGAGCGGGAAGCCTCCCCGCAGGGGTGCAGAGTGCGATTGAACCGGACCCACCAGGCTCCGGCTTCCTAGAGTGACGCCGCTTGTCACTTTCCCCGTTACGATCCGGTAACAAGGTTTCATAATAGCTCATCAAAGTGAGGCTGGCAGTGTTGCCCACAATTACAATAGATGTGAAAGGGCTTAATTAGTAAAAACATCAACTGGCAGGATTCCTATAAGTAAAACTGCACATATTTAAGGAGGCTTATTGTAACGTTTATACCATTTATTGTATAATATACTAATTCGAATGTAAGAGCGAATGTAAATTACTAGAAATTACCATGCAACTCGGAAGAAAAGTCCTTTTATCCCAGGCAACTGTAGCATTTGGCAGATCCGGGAATAAATAATCTTTTGTGGCAAGGGTATGCCTTATCAAACATATGCAGATCAGTACTAATTAATGCTAATTAAGGTTTCCTGTCTATCTAGTTGGAAAAACGTCCAAATGTTATGAAATCCAGTTAGTATGCCTATTACGCTAATTGTTTTATATGGGGTGGTTCTTAATTAAAATATGTAAATTGACCTTAATTGCTATATACTAATGGGGGTTCATGTTATCTCACTGAAAGTGACAAGATGCTGAGGAGGGGTGCTCCAGCGACGAGCCCGATAAATCCTTCACTGAATGACCTTTTACTCAAAACTAATTTTAATTGGAAGTTGGCTGAGGAAACAGTTTTCTTCTTTGTTTCTTTTTAGTTCTTCGTGATGTAAAACTGTTCCTCTGTTTTGTGAGTAGAAGCTACAGAAGCAGTTGCGGGTTGTTCCTTATATTTAACAAGCAGGTTAATTCGACAGCTTGCTGTTTACAGCTGTCGGGGAGGCACTTTTACCCTCCTGTCCCCCCAGGAAGAGGGAGTCCTGGAAGGTGAAATCTAAGCTAGAGTTCATCGCGACGGGCGAGGAGACCCGGTTAGTCTGTTAGAACAGGTGTAGAGTTGGATGAGCCAGGAGAGCAAACGTGTGCTTGTCGGCTGGTTTACCTTAGAATTGCTTTTTAGGGAAAAAAGAATTTTTTCCTTTATAAACATGAACTTTTATTAATTGGAATTAAAACCTCAAAGGAAATACTTAGATTAAATAGACTGAAATAATATCCTTATATTTTACTGATCATGCTTTATTTATTATTTAATTGCAAACAAATTAAAATGTGTGTGCCCAAAACCAGTGTAAATGAATTTACTTTTTTTTTCCCACTATGTTCCTCTTATAATCACAGGATGTAATTTAAATATAGTGAACAAATATTTGATTTTGCTCTTTCATTTGGAACTAGTTAATGCTCAGCTGTAATTTAAAATGTATTTTTAAATTCTATAAAAATACGAGAAGGGACTTGGTAAAATACTGTCGTGTGGAAATGAGCATAGAATAAAGAGCACAGGTTTGCTTTGTCGAGTGGAGACTCAGTGTCTCTCCTCTCTCACCAGGACATCGTGACCAATGTCTCGCCCAGGATCATCCGGGGGACCACCTCCGGCCCCACGTACGGCCCCGGACAGAGCTCCTTCCTCAACATCGAGCTCATCAGCGAGAAAACCGCGGCCTATTGGTGTCAGAGTGTCGCCGAGCTCAAGGCCGACTTTCCAGACAAAGTAAGTGTGATTTAATGTCCAAAACAAAAGAACTGGCGTAAGTCAGCGAATGTTTATTTAAACATCAATTCATAGGCTTATAAATATTAATGCGTATAATATATTTTATTAAAGATTCTGCCGGTGGCTCTGCTGATGCACAGAAAGACACAAAAGAAAGACAAGCCAGGGACTCATAAAGCCCCGCGCACTGTGAGGCCTCGTTACCCACGGGCCTGGGGGGGTCGCCACGTA